TTTGAAGCCCAGCATCAGCTATCACGAGATTCGGAAAGCTATAGACTGCTTTTACGTTACATAAAATTGCTGGAGCTCCAGTCTCACGTTGTTCAGCAGCTGATGTAGGTGACCTCTGTCGCGATTTACGATCTGCCTTCCACATAACGCGACGAACAACATATAGTCAGTGCATAACGACCTTTACTTACCCAACTACAGATCAGCACAACTCCGTGAAAAACGTATCGCAAAGAAACAACACTTGGCGCTCTCACCCTGCAGCATCCACTAGAGCGTGATCTACTCTCATCTTCTGGAACCAATCCTCCACCAATACGTTTAGCTCCAGTACAGCTAGCTCAATGCGGTAGCGATATCGCCAGTAAGTACCTTTCTATTCACCACTTCCGAAATTCATCCCAAAGCAGCTCTTACAGTTAGCTCCGCATCAACAACATGTTCTCATGCCAGAGGTCGACCCTCAAAGCGCTTTCTCTTCAACATCTTTGTTTTTTAGCATGCTTGGGATCACATTTCCATCTACCCGAATCGGCTTCAGATTAGAAGCATGGTTTTCTTCATTCACTCAGCACACCATGCTGAAGTCATGGGGTCGGGTGTTCAAAGTCATACGACCAGCGCGCCTGATAGTGTTGTCGCTAATGGATTTATAGCTGCAAGCCCGCGACCGCAAAGCGAGGCGTACCATGCCCGCTTTACCCTACGAAATAGTCATGGCAGACGAAGACTATGCCATGGGAGATGACTCCATCATCAATTCGACGGAGCCAAATGGGGACCATGTACTGGACACCGTGAACCCGTCTGAAGTTTTTGCGAACATCAAAGGGCCACCATTATCTAAAAGAGAGCAACTCCCCTTTCACAGCCCATCGAAGAACCCCTCATTTCTGCAACCTAGTACCACGCAGAGCCAGGCTGGATCACATCGAACGACAAAGTCGCCGAGTGGCTGGTCGGATAAGATGAGCATGTCGCGCCCCACTCCTGTTAGGCGATCAAGTCCGCAAGTTCGCATACCCCCAAAACCGAGATCATCGATTCTTCCATATGCGACGAACAAAACAGGCCTCGTCTACGACTCTCGTATGCGCTTTCACGCCGAGCTGCCTGACATGGATCTCATTGATGATATCCATCCCGAAGATCCGCGTCGTATTCACTCCATCTATGAAGAGATTAGGCAAGCTGGTCTACTGGCGACTAGTGATTTAGACGAAGACCAAGAAGACAAGTGCTGGAGGATCATGACGCGCTTCGCTACGAGACCAGAAATCCTTCTGATACACACGGAAGAGCATTACGCATTCGTAGAGTCATTGCAGGGTAGGTTTATAATAACATTAAGAGAATTCGACTAACTTTGCTATTAGACATGACTGTGGAAGATCTTAAAATGGAGGCCTCCAATCGCGACTCAATTTACTTCAACCATGCGACCTATGAATGCGCCAAGCTCGCAGCTGGAGGAGCCATCGAGGCCTGTAAAGCGGTAGTACAAGGAATCGTGCGCAACGCAATCGCCATCATTCGTCCTCCCGGGCATCATGCCGAAACAGATCAGGCTTCGGGATTCTGCATCTTCAACAACGTTCCGATAGCTACCCGGGTCTGTCAGAATGCATATCCGGAAACTTGCCGTAAGGTCTTGATCTTGGACTGGGATGTTCACCACGGTAATGGCGTCCAGCATGCCTTTTACGAGGATCCAAACGTACTCTACATATCGCTGCATGTCTACAAAGACGGAAACTTCTACCCCAACTTGAAGGACGGTAATCTTGACTATTGCGGCAAAGGTCCTGGTGAGGGGAAGAATGTGAATATCCCTTGGGCGGAACACGGCATGGGCGACTCAGAATATCTCTACGCTTTCCAGGAAATTGTCATGCCCATTGCTACTGAGTTTGATCCGGATCTTGTCATAGTTTCGGCCGGTTTTGATGCAGCCGAAGGAGACCTGCTGGGCGGTTGTTTCGTCACACCAGCGTGTTACGGTCACATGACACATATGCTCATGCGACTAGCAAAGGGGAAAATCGTGGTGTGCCTCGAAGGCGGTTACAATCTCAGATCAATAGCGCGCTCGGCGCTAGCCGTGACGAGGGTACTCATGTTGGAGCCGCCGGATCGCCTGAACGAGGATCTTCCAGCCCCAAAGGATAGTGCGGTTTACGTCATAGAGAACGTGAAACGCCAGCACTCCAAGTACTGGAAGTCCCTCTACCCTAAACACCTGGACAAAACCGACCCTGGCTACAAAGATACATATCGATTGCACGAAATCATCCGCGAATGGCAGAGTCAGCGGCTGTCATCAGAACACTCCATGGTTCCTCTTCCTCCACTCCAAATCAACAAGGCTGGCTTATCCCAGACGTTTGAACATAATATTATTGCAACGTAAGTTCATTCTCCTCATAATCCCCGCAGATCCTGACTTAGTACAGACCAAAGTTCATGGACCGGTATCCTCTCTTCGTGATTTTTCACGATCCGCCGAGCTTCCAAGACCACACCGATCCGGTGACTGGTAAGAGAGAACTGCACAACACATGGCTTGTGAGTACGGCTGCAGTCTCGCACTGTGTAATCGCTGACTTTGGATGAAGACTGATGTTACGAAGAGGTATATTGACTGGGCCATCAACAATGACTTTCAAGTCATTGATGTCAATATTCCGAGAGTCGTTGCAGTGGAAGACGTGAGCTTTCGCGATGCTTTTGCCGAAACAGCTTGCTAATCACAGTCAGTCGATCATCGGCTACACAAGATCCGATGATTCCGCAGTCCGAGCGCAGCAAACCCGCGAGCTTGCAGCGTATCTGTGGGAGAACTATATTGAGTAAGTCTCTCAGAACGCGCTTTTGATCAATTATTAACGTGTGAATAGACCAAACGAGGCGACACAAGTGTTCTTCATGGGTATCGGCGATGCGTATCTTGGACTTGTTGATCTACTGAGCCACAACGGTAAGCATCCCAAGTCCTCTCGCAGCTTGCCTTCCCAGAGCAGCGACTGACTTTACAGAAAACTGCACCGATCCGGATAGCCCAGTCGAGTGCTTAATCGGATTTGTGGGAGAAACAACTATTCAGTCCATCAAACGAGCAACGGACGACACCATCTCCAGCTGGTACTACTCCGTAAGTACGCTTGAAGACTACAACATGATACCAGCTAAGATTCGCAGCACTCCATGATCTTCGTGAAGAACAGCCACTTCGTCTGGAATCCGAGCCGTCAACGCAAGATGCGCAAGAAGCTTGGCAACCTTATCCAATCGCCCAAGGACAGTTTAGACGATATGCTCGAGCAGCATTTGGATGAAGTGCAAAGCCTACTTTTGGAAAAGAAGAGCGAGTTCGAAGAGATGAATGACATTTCCAGTCGTACTGACGAGGGGCCGCAGAACACGGTCGCAGGGCTGCGAAGCCCGCCCGTAGCGAGCGCGTCACACACATCTAGGCGGTTTGAGCAAGAAGCCGCCTCGAATCTGTTAAAGAGCCCTAAGATGCCTCAAATGGGCTTGTTCAGTGCGAGCAGTCCACGGAGTCCCGTCAAAAGGCCACCCTTTTGAGCTACTTGAAGCTGGTCGAGAGATGGCGTGGTTTGCGGCATCCATCATATTCGTTGCATGGCCTGGCGTATCTGGCATACCTTTTTCGCTGTACGATGAAGCGGTGTCTGATGTTTTATGTGTTGAGTACGCGCGCTGCATTTCTTCAATCGCAAATAATCAACATCTCCTAGAGGACAGCTGCGCCTCGATGATATGAGTACTCCGATGATGACAGTGATGTTGAACGAAAGTCTTATTCATAGCTTTGCTGATGCGATGCAATGCAAAACCTCGGTACTTTGAGCCGCTTCAAGATGGTCGGCTTGCGCCTCGCTTAGGTACGAGCCCTGGAGATGGCTAATCATGACGCCAGCCGTTATCCATCGAACCGGCCGAGCCCTACGCCTCACGATAGCCGCTCCGCGCTCGCATAACCCTCCGCCCACCACAGCAATTACTCCGCACACGCATCGCAATCAGCATACTGCGCCCAAGCCATGCATGCGCCAAGCAGACGGGCCCGCTTTCATGGCCGGGTCGCTGACCAACGCTAAGCTCACTCGAGGCTGGCGGCTCAAACGCTCGATGCTCATTCCTTGACGACAACTCAGCTGTGCTCCACCACATGCCAGCTCGCGTACGAGAAGGATCTAGACGGCATGGCAGCTGCGAACAGCGCAAATCGATAACTAGATACGCGGAAAGAGTTGCTACGCGCCCTTGGCCAGCATCCCCAGATTCCTCAGAACGAGGTTGGAACGAGATTGTCAATACTGATGCACTCGGCGGCGCAGTCGAAGAGATGGTGGCACGGAAATAGGCCAAGTGGTGATGGGCCAACATCAGCACTAGCTGCCGTTACACATATCCAACCTTCTATCGAGTGTGCTTCTTATTCCCTGCTGACATGCTGATGGCACGCCCCGCTGGCGAATTTACAGGCATGTTGCTGCAATGGCTGTACGCCTCAGATGCGCCCGCACAAGGGCGCGCCTGCCAGATCGGCAACATTGAATGTACTGATTGGTTGCATAAGACGAACAAAGGCCATGTATGATGGCAGATACAGGAAGGTGGCTTGTCGCTTGGTCCACTATCCGCAGTGCGGCTGTGGGGGCTGGAAACAGCGGTATCAAGCACTGGGGCAAGATGGGCGGAAGAGTGACTTAAGGGTTGGGGGTCAGCCTGCCGGGTCACCTTTGCTCTGTTTCCTTCTTTGAGCCTTTATGCTGCCTGTTATACTGCTAGCATTGCATTCGTATTTTTCCGACAATCTGAAAGCCGAGTGGACTAAGAGAACACGGGCTTTGTGCTGAAGACCGGTCTTACTATTGTGCTAATCTACTCGCCACACAACCATCGCAATGAGACGCTCTTGGACCGCAAGGCTAGCTGTGGCCATCGCGGCCAGCCAACTTTACTTTTCGTCTACTATGGCGCAAGATGTCTCACAGACAGCATCCAACAATATACAATCTTCATCGGCGACAACTACGACCTCGGAAGCAGTAGAATCGTCGACTGCAACACCGACATCGTCGGGTGAACCGACAATCCACTCGGTCAAAGCTGGCGCCGGAGGCTTCAAATTCACACCGCAAGAACTTCATAATGTCTCCGTGGGCGACATCGTCCAATGGGAGTTTTATCCACCGGATCATTCGGTCGTGAGAGCTGAGTTTGGATCAGCATGCGTACCGTATGAGTATACGGGAAAAGACAAAGTAGGGTTCTGGTCTGAGACCCAATGGGTGAACAACACGAATGAGGTTGGTCCTTCGATGCACAACCGGGCCAGTTACGCTAACACTCTCGCAGCTCACATACTTCAATGTTACGATCAACTCGACAGAACCCATCTTCTTCTATTGTGCAGCACCGAACTCGTGCCTGGGCGAACACATGGTCGGAGTCATCAACCCGAACTCTACGCAAACACTGGCATCGCAAGTTCAGGCGGCTGCCGCAGCAGACTTTCAACTAGAGCCTGGCGAACCAGTTCCTGGTGAGGCATCATCGACGCTGTCTAATACTCCCACGTCAACGGGAGCACCGCCACCGTCTAACGGGGGAGGTCATGGTGGCGGTCATAGCCTGTCCACTGGTGCCATCGTTGGCATAGTAATTGGTGGCGTGGCTTTCCTGGCAATCTGTGCCGCTCTCTTCTTCTTCGTAGGCCGATCCAAGTCGTTGAAGGAGGTTATCAAACAGCGAGACGGTACGAATACCCACGACCCACACATGAGCCAACAGTACGGTCGCTCGGACTACGGTCATGGAGGACTTCCATCGCCAGGGTTTCAATCACCAGCTCCTGGCTATGCTACTCCACCGCCAGGACACTACCCAGACTATGGCTTCAACTCGCCCCCAGGATACGGTCAGCACAATGTAGGAGAGCAGTACCCGTCTGGTTGGACCAGTCCCGGGCCCCAACAAGGCCATATGAGTATGATGAGCAATGTCAGTGGGTTGTCGCAGCAACAGTAAGTACCACTCATATGAAAGATACCTGGCCTAGATATGCACGCTAACTATGTTCGTAGGATCGACCAACTAAAGCATGCACAGATGAACGGGCAACCTGCCGTAGCAGAGTTGCATAGTCCACCGCTGGAGCAGCAGTCCTTCTCGGCAGAGTTGGACGCATCTGGACGCAATAAGCCAAAATGATGAGCGATATGTATTTGAATTATCATCTTTAGCTCGTATGCAATGTTCGTTTGATACCATTTGAATATAGTGCAATGCCCGAATGGGACTCGTGCAGACAGCGTGATGAAGCATGAAAATCCTTTAGCGCCGTTGTAAAGGCTGGATCATACGGCAGGCTACCTTGAACAGAGAATACAGAAGAGATGTATATAGTGCAAGCTTATCGATAACATGGAGTGTAGTCACACCTTTGTTGTACGTCCGACTCTCGCAACGACACTAGAGAATACACAAGGAATACACGAACCGACTCGAGACTAGATCTGCTCTCGGAACTCACGGCAGCAAGAAGATCGGTCTAGCTGACGATAGACCGTACAGCAACGAGACCATCACGTACTGCATCTGCAATTGCCACACGATACCATTTCGGGCCTGTTGTGCAAAACCCTGCCAAGCGGTCCTCGTCTCGTCGAGTGATGTTGTGGCATTGTAAAACGTGGGCCGGCAACCAGCGGCTAGCGACATTGTGGTACCAGAGTTTATCGCAGGTAGATAGCAGAGGGTCCGCGGGTTAGGTAACTTTGAGGTTGGAGTTGGACGCGTCGCGCATAGTGGGTACTCGAGCGGGGATAATTGTCAGTTGATCGGTCGTCTCGTGTGTGAACTCTGCCAGGCGTTGCATGCTTTGTGCGATGATGACTGAAACATGCATGTTTTTTTGTCGAAGTGACATCACGCTCATCGTGTAGTCAGGCTTGAATAAATTGGATACTGGCGCAGTTCGCAAGAGCAAAAATCTACACACTATCTAAGCTAGTGTGAGCGGAAGCTAGCGATCGGTTGTCGTCTTCTGGAAATTTTGATTAGAGGATGTTCCCTCCATGTCTAGGGCTTGATGGCTGTTCATTGGCGGTCAGGCGCTCCGCAGCGATGACGAGCATGCTGGCACGCAGGGCCGATGCGCCTACACGCAACCAGCCAGGAAATGCGGTGAGAATTACTAAAGGGTGCGCAGGACAGGAAGAAGCAGCCATGGGATGGTTTGCCGGTGTTCAAGAGGGTGCAAGGTTTGGCCGGCAGCCTACAGAAATCCCCGGACGTCACACGTGGTGTGGGCGCTGCCTGCTATCGTCGGAACGCCAGCCAAGCCTCGCTCAAGGAAGAGCGGCGGCCCTACGCACTCGACGCCAGATGAAGCCTTGCCGATGGTTCCTCCCTTCCCCACGTTCCTGCCAAAAGTTCCGTGACCGTCCTCAGGCCTGACTATGATTTGCACCGCGGTTGCCCGATCTTGCCCTCTTCCTCCACCCTAGGACCCCCAGCCCGGCACAACGACATGATCACTTCCTCACCCACAATCTCCCAACCGCCATCGCCGAACACGACCTTCCACACGCCCACCCACCGCCCGTACCATGCCTCGCGACGCACATCGGCTTCCTCCAGCGCCCACTCGCCCCGCTTTGCCGTGACCACGGTAGCCTCACGGCGATTCGACGCGCCGCCCACCCCAAAGCCCGCCTTCTCGGCGCCCTCGCCAGTCCCCACGTTTGCGCCCTCGCCCCAGAGTCGCAAGAGAGGATACGTCGACTCGGGCACCCAGTACTCGCCGTCTGGGTTTCCCCCGACTTACCGGCCGCAGCCCAGCAACCGCACCAGCGCCGACATCGCTCTCGATTCCTCCACCCTCGACCAGGACCCGGACCAGGACCACAAAACGGCCGACTCGACGTCTTCGAGCGCTCCAGCCACTGTGCCTGCACCGCGGGGGGAAACCTCCGCCGCGCCTGTCGTCACGGAGCCCCCCGAGCCCCAAGTGCGGGTAAGTCCGCAGCCTATTGCGCCCGCGAACAATGTGCAACCGCAGGGCCGCCGCATGTCGCACGAGAGCACGCATGCGGAAGTAGATCCAGCCGGGGTGCAGAAAGAGCAAAGCACCGTCTTGCAGGTTCCTGCCTCGCCAGCCAAGCGAGCGAGGCCCGAGGAGCCAGGCGTCAAGGTCATGCCCCTTCAGTATGAGACGTGCGACGTCAAAGACCTCGGTGTGCTCATCTCCGACATGCTCATGGAGTTGGTGCGGCTCAACGACGGTTATCCGCTGCGCGACGGCACACTTACACGATTCCACTCCAGGTGCGTGCGTCCAAGACTGACTGAAGCAGTGTTCGCTGACATTGACTCCCAGAGCCCCGCCGGGCATCTCAGTACGAGACTATCTCTCCCGCCTAATAGTGCACGCTACACTGTCTCCGCCTATTCTCCTCTCCATGGTCTTCTACGTCGACAAGCTGTGCGCCATGTACCCCGCCTTCACAATCAGCAGCCTTACCGTGCATCGATTCCTTATAACCGCTGCGACAGTCGCAGCTAAAGGCCTTAGCGACAGCTTCTGGACCAACAGTCTATATGCAAGGGTCGGCGGCGTCAGTGTCCGTGAATTGGCGCTACTCGAGCTGGAGTTTCTGCGGAGGCTCGAATGGCGCATTGTCCCAAAGCCGGAAGTACTCGTAGATTACTACAAAGGTCTGGTCGATCGTGGCGCAGGTTACGTTATAGAGAAGGAACCGGAATCAGGACCGGCAGCCAGCTCAAACCACGTAACCACGCCTACGGGATCAGCGACAGGAATACACACCAATCAATCAGGCACATAATGACGGAAGCTCTTGAGCGCTGAGCAGCATCATGCCACGATATCAAGCCAACTCATGAAACGCTACCCAATGCCGTTAGCGTCTCTACCTCGATAGCTTTGGTCGCAATCATGAGTTCGCGAAGACGACGTTGTGGGTTATCTTATCTGTTCCCAATGTCAAGCCAAACCGTGGCCGCCCTTGTATGGAAGGCTGGGAGCACGGCTGGTTGGATGTTGATGAGCTGGCGAACATGACTCGGCAGGAGTTATCACCTACAGCCTCTCCTCCAACGGGGGATCTTATCGAGCTACCGGAGGCACATCACTACATCATCTCAGGCTCGTGCCATCAGCGAGCACTCTCATAGGCATCTTTTCGATGCCACCAGCACGGTCCGTCACAGTGATGCCTCTCGTAGCTCTCAAAAGCCCAAGGCATGCTTCAGAGCAACGGAAAAGCTAGGGATGAAGCAGAACATTGCCCCTGTGTGACCGCTTGTTTAGTAGACGACGAGCGCAAGATGCACGAGGCGAGTGAGAAAGTTGAATAGCAAGTATTAGTTGAAAAGTACCAGCAAAATTAAATCATCAACCCCTTCCAAAATGCATGCCACAATCTTGTGAATGGTGTTCTGGCAGACGCACCACAGTCAAGCCGCTAAGAGCATGCATCGTGAGTAACGTGGACGAGTAGAATCGGCTGCTAGCATACCCCAGTCGATAGACGCACGGGTGCCGCAGAGTGAGGCTAACACTCCACCCCTATGGCGTAGCTCTTGGTGCTATCGCGCTCCTTTGCTGCGACGACGGAGGTTCCTGCAAATGCCACGGCGCAGGGAGAGCCGAAGCATGCTACATGCGACCTTGATCAACGATGTCGGCTTAGGTAGTGGTGACCCTGACCCAAGAGTTGAACATGACCTGACTTGAAACCCTCCGTCCTTCATTCTCCACCCCCACTACACTCTCCACGCGTCTGTCTTTACGAGGTCACATTAGAGCAATCGTGTGCCGGCGCTACCCCGAGCACCTCGCGATCCAGACGTGATCTCCACCCCGACCCGCGGCAGACGCGTCTTACTCCTCCGGCGGCGGCAGTAGCGCGACTATAGTACTATGAGGGTGAGTGTGTATATGTCACAAGAGCCCACGGACCCAATCGAGCGCTCTGTGTTCCTCGCCAGCTCTGGCTTTACTTCCCTGGCTTGTCTGAAACCTTCGCACGTGCTCAAGTTGCTCGTCGATAGTTCCGCCATGCTGCTTGATCACTCTGTAATTGACACCTCACTAACTGGCACCAGAGGTTCAGGTAATTCTCCAACACAGAGTGCTATGCGTAAGAGATGAACTCGGAATACACCCGCTGGGATGGTATCAAACACCAGTACGACAGTCCTTGGAGCGCGCCTCGCCCCGAGGCACCGCCAGCGCCGTCTGCCCTCCCGTACGCGTTCCCCGAGCCCTTCCCGCAACTCACAAATGGGTTCCAGCAACTGCAGGTGGGAAAGCACCCAAGAACGCGAACGTCGCCCGTAGTCACGCGCACACGCATAACAAGACACGGCTCCGAGCCAAACCCTACAAGGCCGCTGTCTAGCGGAGGAGACGCCCACATGGTCCCTTACCAGACCCTCCTTCCGCATCGTCGCTCCGAGTCCTACTCCCAGCCCACCCCGCTCGAGGACTTCCGCAAGTCAAGACGATGGCCGCCGAAAGGATACACGTCGGAGGATGCGCTGGAACCTGACCAGGCAGAGGAACTCATATGTGCCGGTGCGTCGTCGTTCAAGGGATATTGCGATGCGATAGCCAACGCACCAGCGGGCTACGATCGCTTCTATGCGGTCATGGAGGCTGAGCATCAGAGTCGAACGGACCGCGCATCTTTCCAGCAGGAGGCATACCGGGACATTTCGCTCAACATGACGGGTGCGTCTGATAGCCAGTTTCCGTGGCTGGCTCACGAGTACCCTTGCATGGCGTACGCGTTTGGCAAGAGTGCAGGAACCACAACTTTGAACAACTGGGTCAGCAAGTGGAGGACCAGTCAGCCTCCTACGCAATTCGCGAGTGAGGTCAAGCCACGGAAGATCAGGCTCCTACAGATTCTGGACCGATTACAGACCCTAGAGAGCGGCCTCAATGAAGATGTCAGTCCCCAGTCGTGCTCGGGGTGCTTTGGTTCGAATGATCCTAACTATTGGTTTCGCAGGATCCTGAGGACTTATATCGCTATCTATACGGTACACTGATCGAAGACCCGGAGCGATTTGATGAAGAACGCCGCCATGTTCGGATCGACCAGCAGATCACGGATCTCATCACAGTACTAAGCAACCCGAAATGGGTAGATTTCTCACACCCCAAGAACCAGGTTGTGGCGAAGTGGTTTGATTCTCCCGATCCACAGAGGAAGCAAGACTTCTTCCACCAACTGCTACTGTCAGTGGAACTCTACCTTCGGATACACTCCAAGCACCATACGGACAAGTCCAAGCGGAAGCTCATCCTGCAGCTCCCAGCCATCATCACATGGGACCTAGCGGTGGCTCAACGGTGGCTCGAGAATATGGAGATTACGAAGACGCGTACATCATCTACCCAGAGCACTTTTAGCTTCGATCTGAGGAGCAAGAGCAGACAGATCGAAGCCTTGAGGCTCTTTGCGGCAACACTCAAATGGCCGAACATGGATGAGGTTGAGTATGTCCTAGACGAGCAGGACTTGAAAGAGAAAGCGCTCGAGGACCGGTCCGCGGATGCCATGTCCTGGTTTTCGGGGATTATCTTGCCAGGTCGGACACTCCCGTGGCTCATCATGAACAGTTTGATAGACTGTGACCGAGACACCGGGGATGCTCTAAAGTATCTGACTCACGTGCATCCTGCATCTGGATTCCAATACCGAGCGAACACGTACTGGTCATCACAGTCCATTGTTGGCAAAGTACTAGGGGCTGCACGCGGGGTGAAACAAATTGCTGGCTGGATTGGACCATGCATCTACACCCCAGATCTCAAGCGGACAGAGTGCGTGAAGGTCAGACAGCACGAATCCCCGGATCCTATGCTTGTTTCCATCGACGTAGAGTCTATGGATCAGCGCAGCAATCCCCTAGGCGCGCCAGACGACATGTATCCCGTGGACGACTACGAGGTTCCCATGCCAGACACCGAAGATGTCACAGACCTCATACGTATGGAGAAGCTACGCTTCATCCCCGTTAAGGAGCGTCCGGAAGGAACCAGACATGCTGCTGGTCCTCCAATACTGTTCGATGCTGGTATTTCATTTGCATGTGGTGGTGAGAGCTGGGTGATGAAGCTGCGATACAATGTCGACTTCATCAATGCCTTCCCCTGCCACCAGGGCCCTCATGGTACGGATTATTTCTCGACAAAAGCTTGTCACATGCTAACATTCATCAGTGCTTTTCTACGACTTTAGTTATAAAGCCATAAAGATTGACGACGGCCTCGTCGACATCCATGATTGGGGCACCCAGTCCGGTCGCATACCCCGTCCCACGTCATCCAAATCCTCTCCTGGCAAGAAAGCCCTCACACTCATGAACGAGAAGCAAAAGAGCGCGCACGAGCAAGTTACCAATGTACTCGTTATAGAGGCTCTGGGCGTAAGCGATAACGAGGTTTTTGCAAGAGCTTGGTGCGCGCATCATGGACATAGTGCTATTGTGGCAAACATCAAGGAGACGTGCATGGCTTGTGCGATTCGGGAGGCGTATGCGGCATGTGTGGCTGTTGTCATACTTACCGAGGGGGGTGTCGTGAAGGAGAACGATACCGAGATTTATGGATATGGATGATGAAACGAATCTTCTGGGGGCTATGCATTTGCATCTTTCTGGGTCTGCTTCGGCACCCTTTTGTATTGATGGCTACACGATTCTCTTATGTCTTAGCGGCGGGACGGTGGCATCGGGAAGGGATTTTGGGATGCGTGTCACGACTGTAACGGTACTCATGGGAGTTTGGGTCATGATTATGTAACACGTTATGAATGTACGCATTTGCTCTGTTCGGACATGGAAACCTTGGACAACTTCGCATGAAGGGTCGATCACGTGGCGATAACCAAAGTGTTATCGCGCGACTCTGACGTTTGCGCCAACGCGATGGAGCGCGGGCGGCTTTGTGCATCATCAAAGTTCCCTCGCGACCACTCTGCGAAGCATGACTTACCTTGCAAACTTATCATCGCGACTGACGACTGTTTTGAATTAGCGCTTACTTGCCGCATGAACAGTGATACAATTCTCTATTGCGCCTTCCTACGATTCTCCAACCTCTCAGGCCGCAGTTTCCCTGGCACGCTTCCATTGCGCCGTTCGTCATTGCCACACGCTTGTGCGCCCAGCACTGAACCTCTTCGCATGAGGCTGCACGACGACCGTTAATCTGCGCCAGTCGGTTGTAGCACACGCCCATTACCGAAAACCCGCTCGCTCTCCGTCTACGCCATGGGCCGGTCAACGATTCCTCCCGCGCTCAGCGAGCTCGCGAATCCGAGCACGCCCGAGGCACAACTCGCCGCGCTCCAGAACCTGAAGAATGAGATTGTCGGACACGAGCAGAGGAAGGAACTGGCAGTGACACATGGTGTTGTGAAACCACTGGCGGGCTTGCTACGGGCGGAAGCTAGGAAGGGTGGGAAGAGGAGGAGAAACGTCACCAATGGACACAGCTCTGGGCTCTTCAATGAGTCCAGAAAGAGCGTCGAGGAACGGACGACCGAGGATGAGTTGCGGTTCCAGGCTACGCTCGTCGCTGGTAGCCTTGCAAATGGTGAGCGCGCATCGCGAACTGATCCATTTGGAAGGAACATGATGGCTGATATTTGAGACATACAGGCGGACCAGCGTTCGTCGCTCCGCTTCTGGCAGGTCACGTACTACCTCCCCTGCTTGAAGCGCTACGACCCAGCGAGACGCCTGCGAAACTCGTTACCACGACCCTCAAAACCCTCAACCAGATCGTCGATGCAGTCAACCAAGAAAAGCCCTGGCTCGACCATTCCGAATCGTCCTCCCGATCGTCTCTCGCCTTTACCGTCAACGAGTCGATATATACCAGGCCTGTCATTGACAGCTTGGCCGAGATACTGGCGCAACCGACAGGCACGATGAAGGCCTACCAACAGATTGACTCGACGATCCGGCTCATCACGAAGACGTGTGTAGAAGATAATCAGAAGAAGATGCTAGTAGATGCGGGAGTACTAGATCTCCTAGCTGACAAACTTGCTGCTGTCGCTGCCATGGACGATCGTATCCCCGCAACCGAGTGGAGGCATTCCAATGGTCAGGCAACGACAACAGGAGGTGACGGCTCGAACAGTGTTCAGAAATCGGCTTTGACGCCGACAGATCGGATTCGTTTGTCAGACATTATGGAAGCCATTTCGGTCATCATTAAGGACTCGCATTACTATACCGCACGCTTCCTGTATTCACACTCAATACAGCAGCTTTTTGGATGGCCAAAGGAGCGGAATGCATCAGATGGAAGTACACACGCGGCATCGTGGGATAAGCTGATACCCCGGGTACAGACGATGGCGAGCAAATCAGATCCGTACATCAAACAATGGCCGGCGCTTGGTGCCTATGGCTCTGTCACCGGGGATAACTATTCTCGACTACCGAGTATGGACTCGCTGCAGCAGAACTCAAGTCGGAGTGTGATCACTGACGAATCTGAGTCACCGCTCTTCATATGGCTTATATACGTCGCCCGCCGTGGTGAAGGCCGAGAACGTCTATCTGCCTGTGGGATGCTAGCACTGCTGAAGAAATTCGGCGAGCGTTGGCCTTTGAACGATCCCTCCAAGACATCACGAGAGCGCCACTTCTCGTATCTCATCATTCCTCTCGTTGAGAAGATGATCGAAGATTCAAGTCCGACATCAGAGCAAGCGAAAAGAGCTAACACTCTAAGCCCTGCTTCAAGAGATGAGATGCGATTCGTGTTGGAACGCTCGCCAGTTGTGCTTGCTGAGCTGATTGCGGGAAATAAGACTCTTCAAACAGCGGCCGTTCACAATCGAACCTTGCCGACCCTTATTCAGATCCTCAAGAAGTCGTTCGATGTGCCAGCTACATCTTCGAAACCTCTCTGGCAACCACGATCGTCATCTCACGAAGTGAAAGACCCAGACATTGACACTGCATCTTCCACACTGGGCAGACCTGGACTAAGCGCCGATGTATTGCACGCGTTCAGGTATCGAGAAAGTGTGCTACTGGCTCTGGCGGCGATAGCAGGAGATCAAGATGCGTTGAGAAAGATGGTTATTGAGATGGGCGCTGCAACGCACATCATCGAAGCCTTGGTTCCTTACCGTGAAAGTAACGAGCAGGGCGCGTCTTCTTCAGCGAAGGACGGCAACCCAGATTCGGTGCTCATTGCTGCTTGTAAAGTCATACGATCGCTTTCCAGGTCTGTCAGTGTGCTGCGGACCAGCTTGATCGATCACGGAGTTGCACAGCCGATCTTCGAGCTCTTAACGCATCCGAACGTCAAGGTGCAGATTGCTGCTACGGAGGTCATCACCAACTTGGTGCTTGATGTGTCACCTATGCGAACTGTAAGTACGATGCTCATTATGTCGTTCTTTCATGCTAATGTATTTACTAGGAGATCGTCGAGTCTGGAGTACTGGGAACGCTCTGCGAACAATGTAGATCAGCAAACTTCGACCTTCGTTTCGGCAGCCTCTGGGCGCTCAAGCACTTGTGCCTAGGCTTACCACATGCCATGAAGATACAATGTCTTGAGGAGCTCGGTGTTGGCTGGCTCGTACAAGTACTCAATGGAGAGCCATCCAAGCCAGCTATGGGTACACCCAATGCAGCAGGAGAGCAAGTCGATATCCTCAACGCGGTTGACGAGCCCCATATGGATGTGGATGAAGAGCCGTCATCCGAAGAGGATGATGACGCCATGACCGAAAGTATACCGTCTATGCGACGGCATCAACGTCCTGGTTCACGGTACACAAGTGCAACTAATATCCGAGACCGGTTACAACAGATCAAGAACGATGAGCAGGACAACCGGCTCAACGGCGAGCGCGACGATATCCGTATACAAGAGCAAGCGTTGGACTTCATTCGGAACTTTGTTTCAGAAGACAAAGCTTCCGGTGAGATGATTGACCATCTGCTCAAGACCTTTGGCCACAGTCGGTTCTTCGAAATTCTCGATGCTAAGATCCGGCCAAAGACGATGTCGCAAGCTCAGCCCAGTGCTACAGCCCCAAGCTACTGGCCAAGTACCAGCCACCGCACGCCTTTTTCTTCTTCCACGAACGCCCCGGCGCAGCCAAATTGGGCCACCTACCCTGCCCCTGAACTCATTCTGGCTGCAGTGTATATTCTCGTGCATCTCGCCAATGGTCGGCCTCAGCACCGCTCTCTTCTCATCTCGCAGACCACGCTCATGCAGCATGTTCTTCAGCTTTTCACTCACCCTCGTCGCGACATCCGCGTCGCATTGTCCTGGATGCTGCACAATCTCGTGTGGATAGAAGATCATACCGATGAAGCCGCTACGCGTGAACGTGCTATCACCCTTCGCCAACTGGGCTTCGAGGAAGGCGCTAAGCAGCTGGGTCGCGATGCGGACAATGATGTACAGCAACGTGCAATCGTAAGTATTGAGCAGTTCGACAAGCTACTCAACGGTGGTAGTGGTAATCGCCGGAGCGGTGGCTTTGGTAGCCCTGGTGGTTTTGGTGGTGGGGACAGCGGTGGTGGCCTTATGAGTGGGCGTTTGAGCGGCGGATTGCATGGCTGGAGACATGATAGGGGTTAATTCTGGGATAAGTCAAGTGCACTTCATACACGTATATTGAGGAGACCCTCTAAAATCATCAATATTTCGCCAACGACATGTCGTCTTCTAAATCTTCCATTGCCTGTGACCTTCGGTGTGCATCAAACTCCGAGCCCGCGCTAGTGTACTGTAATGCCCCGACTTCGCGTCATCATCGCGGAATGCTTTCCGAAACGCCCATACATTTTCCCCATCGCCTGCAGGAATCTCGCACGCCAACTTCGCAACATGTCCTTCACCCGAATCTCCCGGGCTGTCATACCACGCGCCTTTCGCTCTTTCTCCACGACCCGGACGCGCTTCCAGACTGCGATACCGTACACGCAATCATGTCCGTCACCGAGCTGCGAGTGCGCGGCAACGCCTCCCGATCTAGACATTGATCGCAAGACACCACTATTGAATACTATGGCGGCGTACTCTGAACAGGTCATCTTCTGTACCGGGAAAGAAGACTGGGTCAGCAACATCGAGCAGGAGGAGGGCGAGACCGGGGAGTTCGTAAAAGGGCTCAAAGGTGTGATTGGGAAAGGCGGTCCTGGATTTGATGTAGGTCTGTTTCCCAGTACGGTCATTCTATGATACTTGGAAAGCTGACGCGTTGCCGCATCATATAGCCATTCACGAACGTCCTCATCACTGCTTCCTCTTTACCGAGAAGTGAAAAGGCGGGCGCGACAACGGCATTGCTATTCCCGAGTTTCAAACGCATACCGGATATCCCGCATACTCCCGAAGCCTTCTCCAACTTCGCGACCGCATACCTAAAGGCTCGTAATCTCCATTCCATGCACGATGGTCTCTCTGCTGAGCAAAAGTCCCATCTCCTTCGCGACGAGTCGAAAGCGACCGAACTGCCAAAGGCGGAAAACATCACCAAACCCACGATCCTGATATGCGGACACGGCGGCCGTGATCAGCGCTGCGGTATACTCGGGCCATTGCTACAATCCTCGTTTCGCTCTGAATTTCAGCGGAGGGGTATAGAGGCGGATGTAGGGCTGATCAGTCATATTGGTGGGCACAAGTATGCTGGCAACGTCATCATGTACCTACCTCCCAGTTTGGAGGGCAATGCATTGAAGGGCTCGGGTATCTGGTATGGGCGTATAGGACCTGAGAATGTTGAGGGTGTGGTTGAAGAGACGGTGGTTAGAGGACGCGTCATTACGGAGCTGCTGAGAGGGGGTGTGATGCAGGGTGGAGGAAATATTGGGAGAATGATTGAGGCACAGTTGAGGAAGGATAGTGGGGAAGAGGATAGTGGAACGTTGAGATTGAAGGCTAGGGCGAGAGGTTGAGGTTAGACTGAAGAATGTCAACCTCTGTGTTGAGACCGATCAATTGATCTGTTGCGATCCTTCTAGAATGGTCTGCACATGAGGGGTGGCTAGCAAGCGCATCAATGCTGGTCAGTGCGTTGATCATAACCTCTCAATTCTGAAGTGCTTCACTTTACCTTCTCATCCACCTTCAACCTTCAATCATGGCTACTCAAGATATCTTACTCCACATCGTTTACCGGGGGAGTGAAGGTGTCATGAGCATTCCCTCCTGGGACGGCGCTGCGAGCGTGCCCACCAACCTATTGGGGGCACCATTGGAGCTTCGAGAGACGCCCGAATACAAAGCCCAGATTCGTTCTACACTCCTAGACATCGAATCCAAGCATCGGCCCCGGTGCAAACAGACAGTTTCCGGACATCCGTGTATGTTTTGCGGCTCGAAGGCTACCGATTTACTTTTCAGGCCGGAGTGCCAGCTACATCTCGACGCCCCGCAAATCAGGACAAACGTTTATGCCATTTGCGGGAGCCGGTCCTGTAAGACAAAAGCGACCGCAGCACACGATGCGATGATTCAAATGACTATGGCTCATCTCCAAAGCCAAATATCTAGTGGAACTCCCTGCCACTGCGGGCGGAAGGACGGAGCAATGAGATGTGCTAGATGTAGGGTGACGAGATATTGCAGTAGAGAGCACCAAAAGGCAGATTGGAAGAAACATAAGCGTATTTGCGAAGACCTGAAGTTCGCGAGAGAGTACTTGGAGGAAACCTGCCAGGCTTGGAAGCTCCTTGACGAGGAAGGAGTTGGAACATCAAGCACCTTGACGTCCACCCCCAACACGGCTTCAAGGCAGCAAAAGAACAAGGAATCTGAACCGAGTAAGGGAAAGCAGCAATCTGGGCCCGCTCAGCCAAGCAACAGCGCCTCATCGAGCAAGCAGAGCCAGGGAAAAGACAAGGCAAAGAGCACAGCACAACCCAAACCAGAAATGCGCACCGTACGTATGCACTGCACGCCTCTAAGCTTCCAAGAAGTGAAGCCCTGGGACTTTTACTGCGAGATTCCCGCATCTCTCATTATTCCCCCAGAGATGCACTCGAGCCCACCCCCAACATATGAACGCGAGTTCGGAGAAGCCATGCCTCCAATCATCGCAGAACACCAGAACGAGTTCAACACAAGGAGTGGTCCAAAATGCTTAGTCTGCAAAGAAGCCCCGACAAGATACGGAAAGACTTTCTGCGTCTCCCAACTCCACACGCCGGAACCGTTTGTTGTCATTGGCATCGTGCCAACTTGTGGTACAAAGAAATGCGTAGAAGGGGCTAGCGAACTTATGAAAGTCTTCAGAGCGGATCAAATGAAGTATGACGCAGAGCACGCCTGCAAGGTGTGTGGGAAATTCGAGGGGTCAAGGCCATGTTCGAAGTGTGGGATTAAGTGGGCGATGTATTGCAGTGCTGAGCATGAGGAGCGCGACTGGCCGAATCACAAGATCTTTTGTAAGGGCCCCAGTATGGCGCGTAGCTGCGAGGTGTGTGGCAAGTCCGAGGGGCTAAAGCCATGTTCGCAGTGTAAGACGTCAAGGTACTGTAGCGTTGAGCATCAGAAGCGGGACTGGCCGATTCACAAGGGTATCTGTAAGGCCTTGAGAAGTATTCATGATCTTGCGAAGGAGACAGGACATTTGGGCTTGGAATGAGGAACGTTCATATTTTCAGCACGTTCAGAAAGCAAAACTCAGCCACTATGTGTCTACCGTCCCGGTCCCCAATGCTCAAGCAGATCGGAAGTGTGTACCGATGTTGAATCTGCCACCCTCCTCGTACGCCGATCCAACTGCCGCTCCCTCACCCTCTGTCTGCTCCAGGGCCTGCTGTACCGCCTCCGCCAGGCCACCCGCGAACATCTGTGTAGCCGCCACCTCCTCTGGTAGGTGCGCGTACGCCTGGTCTGCGGTGTTTGTAGCCAGCCAGGCCACCGCAGTCCTGCAGTCTCCGCTCGTCGCTGGCCCCATGTCGCCTTCCCGCTGTCGTCTAGCCTCCACGGCTGCGACCAGGAAGCCCATGGCAAGTTCGTGTCTATCGACACTGTGGCCGCTCAGTTTGCGGAGCTCATCGGCGAAACGTGCAGGCCAATTTGCAGGAAACACCAAATTGCCTTCATCATCGCGAGGAGCGATCTTCTCAGGCAGAATTTCACTGCCTTCAGACAGCTTCCAGTGCCCGCAGATGGCCTCGAGATGCCTCTGCACCTTCTTGTAGGCGCCGGAGGCCGAAATGCCGGGACCTTGCTGACGGCCCTTGAGGGTCGTTTCGATGCGGTATGCGATGTTGGGGTGAAGGTGTTTATAGTCCAGGCGGACTTTCTGCTTGGCGGTCGGGTGCCACACAATGATGTTGAAGAGTGGACCGATCTTGCCCACGAGAGCTCCGCGAAGCGCAGCGTAGATGTCGTCGCCCTCTTTCATGGTGGGGCAGATGGTGGCGTAGTAAACCCCCGTGGGGAGGCGCATGGTGATGGTCTTGCTGGTGCCAGCGGAAGGGGGATACTGGTACTCCATCGTGATGATGATGCTTTGTGATGTAGTAGAGTATTGAGGTGTTGGTGGTAGCGGAGAAAAAGTTGTAGGCTGCAAGGGTTTTCGTAGAATTGGTGAGCGTCCAGATTTCTCAATCCGGCTTCACCTTCACTTTTCACCTTCACTTCCACTTCACATGACACCCACACCTTTCGTGGGCAAAAAGATACTAGCTACCTCGATTAAAAGGTAGTCACAAGCTGATTTCGAACAAAGGGCAAAAATATAACAATACTTCGGAAGGATGTTATGGCTTGTTTCAAGACGTAAAGACGCGTATCACTCCACTCGAACCTGCAGGTCTTTGCTATATGAGAATTAGCAGAATTAATTGCAATGTATATGACATCCATTAGATCTCGATATATCCAAGTTTGCCCGTTTGTCAAAACATAGCCTGGGGGTATCCGCTGATGTGTTTGTTGGTACATGACCCAGGGGCGCGACTATAATGCTCCAAGCGCAAGTGATAGCCAAAACATATAATTGTCACGTATTGGAATAGTGCAATGGCATAATTTGATCGGCAGATGTCTTCTATTAATCTATCGAGACATGAATCGCTATTCATACTATGCGGCACGATCATTTCGCTGGGTATATTGACCCTTCAATTTGACATCCATCACCATGCCTCTAAGGCATCGGTCATACTTCCTACAAAGTGCTCTCGAGCGCCAGCACCTGTTGATTGGTTAGCACGTGTCACAGATTCATGAAGAGGCTCACTTACGATAGCAGTCCTGCTAGGAATGTACACCTGCAGGAAGTTCTTCCTCTCGTTCCAGGCAAATGGTGTGGTGAAGAACCTAGTCGTCTCGTCCACGTTACCATGGCCACCGAACGCCTTGCTGTCGGTACTCAGAACGATACGGTAAGTGCCCTCCTGCTCGACGCCAACACGGTAGTCGGTGAAGCTCTCCTGAGGATGGAAGTTGAAGATCCACAGCAGTCCAGCGCGCTCGAATACGATGACCTTGTCACCCTCGTGCTTGAGGCTGACATAGGCCTGAGGCGAGTGGAGCCATCCGTACTTCTCCTCAGTCCACTGCATCTTGCTGTCGAACTCGTTGAGGAACCTGTAGCGGAGGAGCTCGTCATCTGGGAGGTTGAATTGGCGGCGGGCGTAGTGGAAGCTGTTGTTGTTGCCTTCACGAGGGAAGTCGAGCCACTCAGGGTGACCGAACTCATTACCTTCAAAGTTCAAGTAACCCTCGCCTCCCAGACCGTGTGTGATCAGTCGGATCAGCTTGTGCAGCGACAAACCGCGGTTGATGACAGGGGTGAGCTCTGAAAGAACCGACATGTTGGTGTACATTTGCGCGTCGCAAAGCCAGAAGAGCAGAGTCTTGTCTCCGACCAGCCTAGGATATGTCAGTACTGATTGTCAAACCCCATATGTTAACATACGCTTGATCGTGACTCTCCGCATAGGCAATGGTCTTCTCGCCATGCCTTCGGTTTGTCAAAGTGAAGACGAGTGCGCCCATGTCCCAGTCAATGTCCTGCTTCTCCTTCAACCACTTGATGTAGAGGTCGGGTACAGCCATAGCTAATCGGTAGTCGAATCCTATTCCGCCTAACGAGAGCGACACGCAAAGACCAGGCATACCGGAAACGTCTTCGGCAATTGTGATGGAGTCGGGGTAGAGTGTGTGCAGTAACTCGTTGGCAATCATGAGGTATACGACTGCCTCCTCGTCGACCGAAGGACCGAAGTATTCGTGGTAACCACCCGAGAAGCCCCTGGGTGCGTTAGTCTTTGCTAGCATTAGAAGCGGATAAATACTCACGTTCCAATGCCGTGGTGGGTGTATAGCATGCTGGTAACTCCGTCAAATCGGAACCCGTCGAAGCGGTACTCCTCCATCCAGAAGCGCAGGTTGCTGAGCAAGAAGCGCATGACCTCATGGGAACCGTAGTTGAACAGCCTGCTGTCCCACAGCTCGTGTCGTCCCTTGGCGCCCTCGTGGAAGTAGAGGTGGTCACTGCCGTCGAACATGTTGAGACCGTCAAGCACGTTCTTAGATGCGTGACTGTGCACCATGTCCAGCAAGACGGTAATGCCCATTCCGTGCGCCGTATCAATGAGCTCCTTGAGATCGTCTGGGAAGCCGTAGCGGCTGCTCGCAGCGAAGAAGCTGTTGATCTGGTATCCGAAACTGGCGTAGTACGCATGCTCCATGACGGCCATCAATTGTATAGTGTTGTATCCCAGGTGCTTGATGCGAGGGAGGATGTCACGAGTGAACTCCTTGTAGGTCGCGACCTTGGGCTCGGGGGAGGAGATACCAACGTGGGCTTCGTAGATACGCGCGCTCTGGGGCTTGGGCGGTCGCTGGTTCTTCCAGACGTACTTCTGGGGAGGGTTCCAGAAGCGGGCATCGTATACGGGGGAGACGTTGAGGTCTTGGGTCACTCGGGTGATCCAGGCGGGGAGGCGCTCCTGGCGCGCATGGTCGTTGGGGACGACGAAAGAGACCTTGATCTTGGAGTCGTGGGGAATAGTGGGCTGACCGTTCTGGCCAGGGATCGTCACCTCGAAGACGCCGAAATCGTTCTTGGTCATGGGCGTCGCATCGCGGTCCCAGCCATTGAAGTCACCAATGAGGTAGGCGCGCAGGGCATTCGGGGCCCATTCGCGGTAGACGACGTCGCCGTTGGACTGGACATTGAAGCCGAACTTCTCGTAACCCTGGGCGCTGTTAGCTACACCGCTCTTGCCAAGGCGGTTGGGATGCTTGCCCGCGAGAACTTCTCAAGACCGCCCTCAGTCTCGTCAATGGTCTTGATCCACTTCTGAGCTTTGGAGAAGCGGCTCTTCAGCGCGTCCTTGAAGGGCTCAAGGTAGCCATCCATCTGAATGATGCCTGGACGAATTGGTCAGTCAATTGATAAGATAATCTGGGCATCAATATGTACCAGTGCCATCGTTGGGGACCTGCCCCGGGGCGTCGCTCAGGGCCGAGTTTGCGGAAGCCTTGTTGAGCTCCATGGTGTGGGATGGTAGGTGGGAGGAGCTGTGAGGTTTGCTACCAGAGTATATGGCAGCGGGAGGATGCAGGTTTCACAGCGACGGCCTGCCAGATGAATTGCAGAGACGATCACGAATTTGCGGGGTCTCTAACCCGATGCTGAGAGCAGCGCTCAACCAAAAGTTGTTGCCAACCCAGCAATCAACGTCATAGCTCAGAGCACGCTGTAACGGGCATCGCGCCCGCGCCACGTCCCAACAGCGTATCTCTGCTGGGGTGCTGTCGGAAGGATTTGCGCTACAATTCATTCGGAGCCAGGAACCGGCATCCGCATCTAGAATGCCATTGAAGCGGACCCTGAGGCGCTCTGCCGACTACATGGTGTTGTAGACTACCTGATAGTAGCACGCTGGTCACGCGTCGGCGGCAAAGGCCCTTATCGGCATCGGGAACCGTGGGGACAGAGCTTCCCCCGCATCTCTGGCCTAACGTGGGGAGCTCACGGCGGCTCAACCACGGTTACTTCCAAGCCTCGAGCGCAGCCGGCGCCATCGCGACTTTGTATTAAAGCCCCCGTGATGCCCTCGATGTCTTTGAGTTTGTAGTGTGATTTCCCTGCGCCTCCTCTCCCACGATGCTGCTGTCCAAGACGATCCGGAGGGCGCTTCCCGCTGCCGTCTCGCCCCAGGCCCGCGCGTCCTACCTCGCCCTCTATAGCATCTCGCGTCGCGCGCCCTTGTCCCAGTCGCACACGCGCAAATCGTCTAGATTCAATCGTTCCGACTTCAGCGGCCAGGGCTTCTCGTCTTTCTATGAGCCTGACCAGCCCACGCGCGGTCCACTGGGCAACACCAGCAATGTGGGCGCAGGCCACATCACGCCCAAAGTGCTGCGACAGCACCTCGATCAATTCGTCGTTGATCAGGATCGCGCAAAGATAGTCTTGAGCGTGGCTGTCCACGAGCACCATCTCCGCATCCAAGAGATCAAGAGACAGCACCATGAGCAGGCTAGACTCGAGGCGCAGGCTCAGAGGCGAGCATCCGTGTACAGACATCCTGTAGAAGGTAGCCCCAAATCTCATATTGATCCAATCATCGACGACTTCAACCGTCATCCTCTTATGATGCGGGCGCTGAGCAGCAGAGCAGACGAGTTCCCCGGCCAGCAGTCCACCGTAGAACTGCACAGTCACAGTGACCCTCTACCCTACGGCGAAGCACCTGCCTACAAACCAGCCTCGTCCACCTCCTCAGACCCCGACTCCTTACTCGATACCAGCGAGCACCAGCTGCAGATAGAAAAGTCTAATGTGCTCATACTTGGACCTACTGGTGTGGGAAAGACGTTGATGTGCAAGACACTGGCCAAGACGCTGGGTCTACCCATCTCCATGTCGGACTGCACTACCTTTACACAGGCAGGATACATTGGGGACGACGTCGAGTCGTGCGTTGCTCGTCTCTTCTCAGCCGCGAACTATGACATCGACGCAACCGAGCATGGCATTATTGTTCTGGACGAGATCGACAAGATCGCAGGGTCCAAGATGTCATACGGCAAGGATGTCGGCGGCGAAGGTGTTCAGCAGGCGCTGCTGAAGATCATCGAGGGCACAACCGTACAGGTGCAAGCCAAACCGGAGAAGAGCGCGAACAGGCCCGGTGGAATGCCTGGTGGTCCTCAGCCTCCTGGGCCTGGCGGAAACAAAGGCGAGGTCTTCAACATCCGAACTGACAACATACTCTTCATTTGCACTGGCGCCTTTTCGAGCCTACACAAGATCATCTTGGACAGGAAGTCCAAGGGCAGTATGGGTTTCGGGGCCTCGATACGGTCATCGAACGCACATGCCGCCGCCGATGGTGTTATGCTGACAGGTGTGGAAGCTGAGTCCTTCAAGAAAGACTCCCCTTTCTTCGTACCGCCCAAGAACGAGGTCCCGAACCCGTTTGGTGTTAGACAGGTTCAACGGGAAGAGAAGGTTAATGTACTTGACCATGTGCA